ACGGAGACCTTGGCCCAAAGCCAGACTTCCCTGCGAGGCTCCCAGTGAGGAGGAAGGTGCTTCCCTTAACTTTCACTCCAAAACGCTTGGCAGCCCAAATGTTCCACTGCTTTTGGACCACCCATGGGCTCAGCCAAGAGCAGGGAGGACTTCCCTTTGGCAGTGATGCTAGTGAGTAAGTTGGGACGATGAGGTATGCCCCTAGGCAGAGCAAATGATGGGCGCTGATATCCAACACACTTTCATACTCTATCTTTGTCTGTCTGCCTATATTTCTCAATCTCTTTCTCTTTCTCTTTCTCTCTCTCTCTCTCCCCTGACCCACCCCCCCCCCCCACCAACAGCAGCAGAGGTCAAATGAAAAGCAGTCTTCTCTAGAAGAAAAAAGTTCACCTTACTTTGATCATTCCTTGATTGGTAGATTCCAAATATGTAAATTGGGTTGTGGCTTTGAACTTGATTGGAGTCACTGAGAAGGCCCAAGACAGGGGCCAACCTGGGGGAGGTGCTGCTGCGGTTATTTAAACAGGTCCAGCAAGTGCCCATGTGCATAAACAACATTTTGGAGAGAAAGCAACTGCTTTCCAGTGCTCTGAGCTTCCTCCTCATCCCATCTCACCTCCCTGAAAAATAAGCCAACTAAAGCCACTTGCTTCTCAAATTCAACACAGAACTCTTGGACATTCCTCATCTATAAACGGGGGTGAGGCTCCATACCTCCACTGAAAAGATTCTAGACTGGCCTGCTAGTGGACTTTCTATCAACTCCAGGCATAATGCACTGTCCTCTTCAACCTGTGGCCCCTTCCCCCCATTAAACTGCCCATAGTAGAGCACAATAATTTCTTGTACTATCTTTTATACATCTATTGTACATGAAGAACAGTGTCAACTACTTTTACATACATTAAAGAATTTAAGTTAGCTTACAGCTCTGAAGCTTAGAGTCTCACTATTCACGTGTTTACTCTTACAAAGAAGGTAAATAACAGCTAGAATCACATGACTGGTGGTTTCAAATCCCATGGGCTTTCCTCTGCTGCCTACTGGGCTTAAAATTTCCTACATATATATATGTGTGTGCCTATGTTTGTATATGTATTTATTTATAATTATTATATAAGATTCTTCTGATAGTGATTCATAGAGGCATGGGGTCTTTATGATCAAGTATAATACAGAAATCTCCTACATAAGACATATGATCAGGCATGTGATTCAGATACTTCCACCTATGCTAATATCAGATCCCTATCTTAAATTTACCCTTTTGCATTCCCCAGATGCTTAGCATAATATTAGGTGCACAGAAGGCACTTATCACTTGGTCTCATCATTTGCTTATTAGTTAGAGAGATCAAGTATCACTAACTTTGATCCAAAAACAAAGTCTTAGCCACTAGGAGAAACACGAAGGGGCCTAACATACATTTGGGCCAACAGAATAGGTGTCCCACAACTGAGTAAAAACGGTACTGTACAAGCCTTATGTTGATCTTGGTATACATATTATAATCCTCTTCTGGAAATAGCAATTCTGACATATGGGAATCCCTGGTTCTCTGAGTGGGCTTCATTTGGGGTATTCGTTTGGATTTAAGTTTTCTGGTCTGTAAAGATGGCATACAGCCCCCATTCTGAGAACGGCTGTAAAGACTCCAGGTATCATTTCTGTGCATACAATCTGACCAACCAGGGTGGGGGGGCACATCTCAGCACTTCTCATGACTTCCTGTGTGCATAACCACCTCAAATGGGTGTGGATTCAGACACACATCTTAATCCCTGCAGCACCTCACAGTAGCTATGTGACCTTAGGCAAGCAACTCATCTTCTCTGAGCCCATTTCCCCATCTGCAGAAGGGGAGGTTGTCTCATGGAGTAAATAAGGTAATATTTTCAAGTGGTTGCCTCAGAGTGACATGTAGAAGGCACTCTGCAAATATCAGTTGGCTCTGAGAGTGCACAGAACAGATCTGATATACACATGTTCAGCTGAATAGGAAACATGGTCAAAAAATGATCATAGTGACAGGTAAAAGAGAAAAGAGAAGGGGAGGTAGTGAAAGAAGTTAAAATTATAGACAATTTTTTAAAACATTTCTCTTTCAACCAATCATGCCAACCTTTTGTTTATTAACTGTACTTCTTTTTTTTAAATTTTTTTAGTTGTAGATGGACATAATACCTTTATTTTATTTGTCTATTTTTATGTGGTGCCAGGGATCGAACTCAGTGCCTCATGCATGCTAGGCAAGCACTCTGCCCACTGCGCCACAACCCCAGTCCCTTAACTGTACTTCTTAAAAATTGGTCTTCTTTGATTGAGTGAGCTCTGCCTCTTGCCCTCCATACCTTCCCACAAAGGTAGAAAGAGCAACAACTACAAGGTAGGCAACTAAAAGGAGCCCTGGGAAGCCAAGAACTGTTATGTGGAGTTAGGCCAGTAAAAGAGGGTAACCTCTGGCACCTTGAACTGCCAGCAGTTCTCCATCTTCAGATATTCCTCTATCTTAACAGTTTAGAAGCCAAGACCACATTAAGGTACTCCCCCATGTCATTTTTCAGAATCTAACACAGAAGCCAACTGAGTACCACAATTCTGAAAGCCAAATCTAGACAAGCTACAAAGAACAGCACTTCTTTTACTGAGTACCAAGTATGTGCTGGGCTCAGCAGTTGGCATATGGCACAAAGTATCTACAGGGAGGATGGTGTTGTTGTTGTTTTTAACCTTACTTTACAGATAAGGAAACTGTACCCTGAAAGATCTCTAAGCCTTTCAGCTGCTCACATACTCTCACCAATTCAAGTCAGCCTGACACCAGAAAACTTCTGCTTGAGTCTTCAGGTCAAATCATAGAACTGGATTCTGCAAAACTTCATCACACAATCATCTGTGCCTTAGAGCAAAAGAGGGTCTGGGAAGAGGGTGGAGCTGGGAAAGGGAGAGAGGGAAGGCCTTACTCCTTTAGGAGCAACGTCTTGCCACTTCTGATTTGCAATCACTGGCCAGAGGCTGCAGCTGGAGAAGTGTGCATTTTCCTTCTGTACAGTAATCTCTCCAAAGAAAACCCAAACAAAGTCACCTGGCCCTCCTGAGGGGAAAAAGCTTTTCCTCTAAGATTCACACTGAACTCCTAACCCTTCTCCCTCACACCCACCCCAGGGAGTGGCTGGATGGTTGTTGTTTCTTTTCTTTTTCCCTGTGGACCTCTGGTGACACCACAAATTACGTTTTCAGGGACTGGAGTCCCAGAGTGCAATGATGTTGTAATAAACATAACCAGGACCAAATGCCTTCCCATCATGTTAGATGATGCCATTTCCCACCAATCAGGCTCCTCCGGCAGGCAGACCACTCACCAATGAGGGACCAGACAGAGGCTGTGAGGGGGAGACCTGGTCATCTGCAACTAAAAATAAGGGCGCTTCACCATTGGCCACTGCCACTTTGCAACAGGAGTTGGGACCCACACAGAAGGACCCACACAGGCAAAAACTTTCACAGTCCAGGGGTTCACACGGGCCCCGTCTCTGTGTTTTTTGTTTGTTTTCCTAATGTGCTGACTTGAGAAAAAACCTGATCCGGATGGACACACCCTCCCACCTATGCACCTCAGTTTCCAAAGGCCCTTCAGAGCCACAGAGAATCCGGGGAAAGGAGGAGATGTCGGCCAGAGGCCAAGACACTCACCTGTCCGGCCGTGTCATAGAGTCCCAGGAGGTACTGCTTGCCCCCCACGGTAACGCTGACTGCAAGGACAGAAGTGGGGGTGGGGAGAGAAGCTCACAATGACCTGGACTCTGGGGCAGTTTCCCTCCCCACCAGAACCCTCCTCTCCCAACCCAGCTGGTGGCATGTGGGCATTTCCCGGGAGATGTCACCCCCTTCTCCTTTGGGCAAGTCTCGCTGTGAAGTGGCAGGAGTTGGGATGTGATATGGCCCCCAGTTATCCAGCCACTGCTCCCAAGTCCCAAAGACACGTTTCACCGGGAACCCTCAAACGATTCTCCCAGGGGCTTGGGGCAATAGGGGAGGCAGCTGTGGGAAGGTCAAGGAGGGCGCGGAGGGGACTGGGAAGTGTGGGGAGCAAGGGCGGGAGAGGGGGCGAGAAAGAGGGGTGCGAGCTGCAGCAATGGGTGGTCGGACACACAGCCTCGGGGGTGGGGCCGTCTGCCTAGTGGAGGGAGCGGCGGGGGAGGGGTGGGGAGTGCGCTCAGGGGAGGCAGCCAGGGGGCTCCGCCAAAGTTGCTCTAAAGTTCTCGGCCCGGGGAGCGGCCCCTTAGTCAGCAGTTCCGAGTCTTACCTGCGTAGTGGTCGAAGACGGTGGGCACGTACTCCTCCGGGAAGGCGTCGTTGGCATAGCTCATGAGCAGGCACGTCTTGCCCACCGCCCCGTCGCCGACCACCACGCACTTGAGCATCAGCGCGCCAGGCCCGTGAGCCATGCTGCGGCCGGCCGGCCTCCGGGCATGGTCCCCCCGGAGCCCCAGCCCCGGCCCCGGGCTCAGCCCCAGCCCGCCTGGGGGGTCCGCCGCCGTCGCCGCCGCTCGGCGCAGCAGGGCCGCCCCCCCGGCCCCATGCAGCAGCTCCCCTCACTGGAGGGGAGGGGGCGGCGGGCCCGGGGCGCTGCCGCCGCCTCGGTCGTGGCCCGGATCCCCGGCCCGGCCCGGGTCGCCGCGCCCGCCCTCTGCCCCCGCCGCTCGGTGCCCGCGCCCTCTCCCCGAGGAGGATCCGCTGGATCATAAGACTGTCCGGCCCCGGGGGAGACGGCAACTTTGGGGAGGGCAGCGGAGGGGAGGGGAGGGGCCAGGCGGCTCTCCCCGCCCCGCGCCGCCCCGCGCCGCCCCGGCCCCCGCCCGGCTCGGCCCTGGAGGAGGGCGGGCCCCGGCGCCTCCCCCGAGTGCGGCCGCCCGCCCCGCGCCCCCGCCCTGCCGCCGCGGCCGCCGCTGGGCCTGCCGCTCACCCTAGCTTGACTCCCCGCGAGGACGGCGCGGAGCGGCGAGGAGGAGGAGCCCGGGAGGAGAGCGAGGAGGGCGAGGCGGGGGAGGGGGCCGGAGGGAAGCGCTGGCTAGGAACCGAGGGCTCCTCGCTAAAGTGCCCTCAACGCCGGGAAGCGTCCACAGGACCCGGTGCCGGGAGACGGCTAGGAGGCCGCTCAGGGAAGCACGACGACTTCAACGATGACGCAAGAGTCATGCAAAATTATACATATATATTGAAAGTCCACCCGGAAGGCAAGAGCCATCCTATCGGCCTCTAAGTGCACAAGGGAACTAGAAATCAAAGAGAAAGAAAGGCCAAGAGGATTAAAAAAAATAATTTAGAAGGCGTCCGGAGTGGGGGTGGGGGTCCTGAGCTGGAAGGCAGGGACTCCTGGTTTATTGCTTAGTCTCCCCCACCACCCCCACACCTTTCACAGCACGAGCTTGAATCATTTTCTATAAAACTGGTGACTAAGAGAGAGACAGCGTGTCGAACCGTTGAAGCACCCCCAACCAGCCAGAAAAGGGACTCCGGTCGCCGCAAATGTACCTGTGCTCCCCCTGGAGGTGACATTCTCCTAGGCCCCCTTTAGGTCTTAAGTGTCCCTCCTAGGGGATTCTGTTGTGATGTCTGAGAAGTGATACCCTCACGTGCCTGTGATCCAAGCAGCATCCCCCGCCCCTCTGTCTGGCATAGCAAGAAAACACCCGTCTGGCCAGGTCTGGTTCTCCAGCCAACACTGCTGCTTTGAACATTGGGAAGTGGAGGTAAGAGTGCATTCCACGCTGACACGGCACCGCACCCCTGTCCCCAGCTTGCTGACTTGAGGGAAATTGCTTCCTTTCATCGATTCACAGCATTAGAAAATGCTGTGTTGAGAAGCAGCATGGAGGTCATTTGGACCATGGCCCTTAGGTTTTAGGTGAGTAAACTGCTAAGAGAGGTGATGTGGTTATCCAAAGGCTTCCAGCTACTCTTGGCATTCAAGGACTTGATGCACAATTTAGGAAATGTGCATCTCTATGTCCAATCTCCCAGGAAGACATAAAGGGTTATTGGAAATTTCTTGTGGATCCATATTAAGCATCTCTCCAGATCCCACCCAGTGCATCTGAGAGTAGGTATATGCCGCCCTTAATGCTGTGAGTTTGGAAGATACTTTGTATGCACTGGACGACAGGAAAAGTACAATGCCTCAAATTCAAGTGTTGCCACTTTTTCTTAAAAGGAAAGAGAGGAGGGCTTGTCTCACTATTTGTTTGCAGTACCATTTGCTCAGGCAGCATTTTGAGGGCTAGTATACTAGAAGGAGGATCTACCAGAAGAAGTTAAGGAACTTCTGGAGGGCACTGAGCCAGAAGAGCTGAATTTGGTCCCAGCTCTCACATGAGTTAACAGTGTTACCTTGAGAATGTCACTTCCCTTCTTTGGGCCTCAGTTTTCTGTTCTATAAATATAAGCTCATTTCACAGGGACCCTGGGCTCTGGGTGCTGTGGGAAAAGCTCTGGGAATGTCAGTGCACTCCAAATGGGGAACTGATGTGGGATGAATCATTCAGTAGTGACTTCACTGGTGACAGTGACCTCATTCCTTTGGCCCACAGTAATGCCAAATGGTCTGCCAGGAATACTTAGAACTCTGGGACCAATCCCATCTTGGTGTGGATTTGGAATGCCCCCATGTCAGCCCTGACTGCTTTAGCTGGAGGACCAAACAGCCCTGGGCAGTAAACTTGCTTTCCCAGGGGCAAAGAAGATGATGCCCCAATTGGTCAAAATAAAAAAACAAAGGCAGTTCTCAAATGTTGGGATTTGAGGAACAGGAAGGAATTCTGTTTCTAAGCATCTCATAGGATCTCTGCTTGCTTTTTTCCCTTTTGTTTGAACTGCAAGTGTTGAGACAGACACAGGTCTGTGTGAGAACAGAGAACTTTTCTACGTGGCCTTCTCCTTCTCTTTTCCCCCTACTCCCTCCTTCCTCTTCGTCATTGATTCATTCAGTATTCCGTTTAACAAGTGTGTATTGAGGTCTACTAGAAGCCACACTTTATTCCTGGACAGGGGACGAAGAGCTGGCAAGCCACAGTCACTGGAGGGGGAGCGGAAAGGAACTGATGAGCAAACAGATAATTACTACATAATGTGATTGGTGCTGTGGTAGAGAATAAAGAACAGGCTTCTGGAAATGCAGAGGAGGTGGTTGTGCATAGCCTGGGTGTGCTAAAGGATTTGTAGAAGCAGTGTCATTGGTCTGGGGTTTAAAAGGCTAATAGGAGAAAGGGGGAAATGCCTGGAGGGTAAGTCAGTCCTGCTCCATGACAAGAAGCAAATACAACCTCCTGGTAATGGTGAATCATCTAAGGTGAACAGAAGGCAGGGTTAGTGATGCATGGGAACCATTTGTATGTAACTGTGTGACATATGATGCAGCCAGTCTAGGGGCTTCTGAAAGCCACATGAAAGCCTCCTGAAGGCAGGACCCCTCTGGTTGGACAGTCTGTGCACTGTACAAAAGTGAAGGCTAGGACAAAGGACACCACTAAAGGGGAAATCTGGCCCACAGCTCTGGCTCAAGGCTGTGTCCATTACAATAAAGAGCATTTTTCTCTTTTTACAGATGTGACTTCTCTTTGTCAAACTCTGTGCCCATTGCGTGTGCATCTACCCAGAGGGGTGACACTGCATAGCAAGAGATGAAGGCAGTACTGAGGCAAGCAGTGGTCGCAAAAGCAAGGATGTGATGGATGGACGAGACAAGAATTTGCAGTGCAAATTGCCTTGTTCTGCACCCAGCCACTGTCCTGGGGAGTTGTTGGTTTATCTCTCCGGAACACCACCATTTGCTTCTGCTCAGTGTTCTTTCTGATTTCATCTCTGTAATTGTGTGGTTTACATGGAAGCTGCTCCTTATACTTCTTGCCCTGATACCTGTGGATTGGCCCTAGGAGAGTACTAATGTAAGATGAGATAAGCAAAACCCTTTCCTGAACATTTTGAATTTGAGATTCACAAGAGTGTCCTCTCTGTTACAACTAAACTGGATAATGTGGCCCTGGAAGATGTTGGCCATTCATGAAATAGCCAAATAGCCAAGAAAATGAAACTAAATTACAAAAAGAAGTAAAGATGGAAAGATGACCGAGGGTTGTGGCTCAGTGGTAGAGTGCTCATCTAGCAAGTGAGAGGCACTGGGTTCAATCCTTAGCACCACATAAAAATAAATGAAATAAAGGTATTATGTCCATCTACAACTTTAAAAAAATTAATAAAGGAAAAAATCTTGCCCAAAGTTACACAGCTATTTCAAAATGATTTGTCGTCAAAGCTCATACTGCTTGCCTTGTTCTATACTGATCAGGGACCAAAAATTTTTGTAGGAAAGTAGCAAGTTCGTGTCTGTCATTTGAGAACATTCTGGGACTGAAGTATAGATGTGGAAAGTAGGAGAGTGATGCGGAGAGAGATCATGTGAGTCTGAACCAAGCATGGCCATGAACAGGAAGAGGAGAGCATGGGTTTCAGTTGTATTTAAATGATAGAATTCATAGGGTTTCATCACAGTGTGGAGAGGGTTTTCATTACTACCTTCATTACCACACTTCCAGGAGGACTGTTTCTTGACCCACTTATTGAACAAAAGCCTGGGACTTTCTGTGATCATATCAACTTCGTTCATCCCTAAACCAATCATGGTGGCCAGCAAAAAGTCAGGTGGCTGTTGCCTTAGGCTAGGGGTACTGTCCATCCCTAAACTCATCATGGTGACAATTGGTCCTGATTTGGTCCATTAGTCATTTCCACCCAGGCATGAGATTTCATTCCTATCCAGATTCTATGGTTCTTGCAAACGGGGTGACAGGTGTGTGCTGGGGGGCATCTATGCTGGGGAGGCAACCAGCAATATCCATTATACCTAGATGTTGCCCACCTTTCAATGTATCTCCCCCCACCTAGCTACAATGGAAATAAAGGATCTGAGGAGGAAGCCGATGTCAAGGTAAGAAGGATCCATGTCAAATCCATGGTTTGTTCCAGATATCAGCCAGTTTTTCAGTACTGGAGTCCATGCAGTCTCCAAATCCCTCATTCTAAGTCTACCTCCTCTTCTCTCTCTGGCCCTCCTTCTTAGAGATTATTGATGAGTAAATAAAATGAATATCACCATTTTACCCTGGTGCTGTGTTACTTGTCCATGATGCTTCTTTTCTGCCACACATGCCCCTTATCTTCAAACTACAGCCTTTTCACTCCCCATGGCTCTCTAGGATTTCCTTCATAGCATTATGCCATATGCCATACGTCTTTCTCTTTTCCTTCCCACTAATGCCTCCCATCTTCATCTTTCCTCTCTTAAGACTCAGATTTCATGTACATTGCACAATGTTTTGAGTTAAGGTATTCATGTAATCTTAAACACTGCAGCAATTGCCTAAAGCTCAATGATCATTAAAGATCAGAATGATTGGGAAAAAAAATTCAACAAGATTGCCTCACTTTGGGGCTGGGATTGTGGCTCAGTGGTAGAGTCCTTGCCTAGCAAGTGTGAGGCACTGGGATCAATTCTCAGCACCACATATAAATATAGAAAGGTCCTAATAAACTAATAAAATATTAAAAAAAAAGGTTGCCTCACTTGGTTTTCATTTCCAGATGGAATGTATCTAGACTCTTTTTTTCCCCAGTTAATTACCTCCCAGAAACTCAAACATGTGCTCCAGCCTCTGAGAATTTGGGCTCCAGTAACTTTAAATGGTTTGCCATCTTCATTTCTGTCTACTGAGGCAACCTAAGATCAGGATACCAGTCTTTAGGACTGGTCGCATCACAACCCATTGCTGAACTAATTATAGGAAAGGACACATTCTAGAGGTTGCTGGAGTGAAATATGTGATCTAAAGGGGTGGTCCCCTTCCATAAACTCCAATATATCACAGCCACCCTTCTAGGAATTAAAATATCAATTTTACCCTATACTTCAGTTCCAAGACTCACTTGTGCCTATTCCTCCACAATGGATGTTTTGGCCACTGAATATCAGAACCACCTTTCAAGTAGGAGAATCTTCTACTTTGCAAGGCTTTGTGAGAAGAAAAGAGTAGCTTGGATAAGAGCTGGAAATTTCAGATTCTTGATTTCCTTGACAGGCTCAAGAGCTAGTATCACTGGGGTTAAATATAAGGCATTCTCTCTGCAGGGGCAGCTTCAGTGGTGGGTACACAATTCAGTTCCTGACACAGGAAGTGGCACATCAGGGAAGGTAGCAGTGGTAGATGTGGTATAATTGAGTTTCTGATTCAGAAGTGACAACTGTACACATGTATTGTCTAGAATTTGGTGATAGCAATGGTACCAGAAATGGTTTTCTTATCAGAACCCTTCCTGAGTCATGGATTAGACACCATTCCTATCTTGAGCAGCTTCCCTAGCTCTCCCACAGTCCTGTGAGCTACCTATGACCCTTTTAAGATTTCTTTTCTGTTTAATCAGCCATAGACAACTCTGCTGCTTGCACCCAGCCTCCTGAGAAGGGATTGGAGAAGCCAATCATTATATTGAATGTTCTTCTTGTAGAGAGAGTAGAGATTTCCACTTCTACCAAACCCAAGTAACTGATACTGGACTTATCTTCCTGATGTAGACAACTTAAAAATTGCCCACAATGTATGAAATCATTATGTTCAGAAATGGCTCAACAGGACTGTGATTGCTAAAAGAAAGGAACCAATGGGGCAAGCCATATCATCGCCTGTGGGCAGTCTTTCTGAATGGAAGCACCCTGAGAAGGAACCCAAGCAGAGTACAGTGGTCTTGCTTGGCTGGCAAGATCATTAGGCAGCATAGCCTAGAGGAGGGAACATGATAGCAGAAGGGCTAAGTTGCTGAGTACTAAGTTGCATATGCAGAAAGTGGAACTCAACCTGGCTAGTCAAAGAACTACATGGGGAGCTGGGAATCCTTTGGCTCCTGGGTTCACAGAGTTGAGAGACATTTGAATTTCAACTGGTCAATGTGAAAAGACCTTTTAATAGAAACCACATAAATGTTGCACATAAGCAGAAGGACTGAATTAGCCTTAGAATAGAGCTAACTCCAAAGATGTCCCCAACAAAGTTCAGAAATAAACCTCAGAAAGAGGAAGTTCATCCCCACTACTATGTGCCAGCCAAACCAAAGGCATCATTTTTTAAAGGACAACAAAATACAGACATTCAACAACATAAAATTCAGAATGTTCAAAACTACCAGACATGCAAATAACTGGGGAATTTAACCTAAAATCAGGGGGAAACTCAGTAGACAGAAAGAAGCCCAGAAATGACAGCGATAATGAAGATAGCAGACAAGAAAATAAAAAGAACCTTAATATGCAAAGGATTTAAAGGAAAACATGAACATAGGAGGGAAATAGAGGATATTCAAAAAGAACCAAATGGTACTTCCAAGAGCTAAAAAATACAACACATGAAATAAATAATTCACTGGTGGGGCTTAACAGGAATTTGGGCATTGTAGAAATATCTGAATTGAAGACATGACAATGAAACCATCCAAAGTAAGGCACACAGAGAGAAATACACACACACACACACACACACAGAAAGGGGGGGGGAGAGAAAGAGCCTCAATGACCTGTGAAACAATGTCAAATGATTTGACGTTATACACAAAAGTGGAGTCCTAACAAAGGACTGGGAACAATGGTTTATAGTCATAATAGCCCCAAACATTTCAAATTTAATGAAATTATAAGCTTATAAATCCAAGAAGCTCACTATACCCAAAGCAGGGGGGAAAAAAAAAAGTAAACCACATCAAACAAACACTTCATAATCAAATCACTGGAACCCAGTAAGAAATAGACAAAATTTAAAGCAGAAAAATACACTTTATGTACTGGAGAATTGAGAAATAATTGCAGACATCAAAAACAATCCAAATTAGAATTTAATGGAATAACATCTTTATAGTGATGAAAAGAACAAGCAGAAGGAGAAGGGGAAAGCACTGCAATCTAGAATTCTATGTCTACCTGTAAGTCATGACAGAGTCAGAAAGCTAAGGCAGGAGGATTGTAATTTTGAGACCAGCCACAGCAACTTGGTTGAACCGTGTCTCAAAATATAAAATACAGGGGGCTGGGATTGTGGCTCAGCGGTAGAGCGCTGCCTAGCCCAGGTGGGACCTGGGTTCAAACCTCAGCACCACATAAAAATAAAGGCATTGTGTTGTGTCCATCTACACCTAAAAAATAAATGTTAAAAAAAGAGTTTAAAAAATATATATATATATATATATATAATACAAGTGGGTCCAGAATGTAGCTCTGTGGAAAAGTGTCCTGAGCCAAATGTACCTCCTGTACCATGGAGGAAAAATGGGACAAAGAAAATTTTTTTATCAGACAACAAAGAGCTAAAAAATATTTTTTTAACCAGAAGATCTGCACAATAAAAAATATTAAAGGAAGTTTATAAAACAGAAAGGAATGATACCAGATAGAAACTTGAATCTATACACAGCAATTTAAGCTCTAGAGATAGTAAATATGAGACATTTTTTAAACATTTCTTTAAAATATAATCTAAAGCAAACATAATATTATGCAATATATTACATAGCTTTAACATATAGAAATAAAATCTATAACATCAATAACACAAGGATAGAAAAACAGGAGTAGAAATATGTTCTTATAAAGTCTTTACATTATACATTAAGTGATAAGATAGTATTTGAAGTTGTCTTTGTCCATTCCTGATGTTATAACAAAATGTCTTAGGCTGGATAATTTGTAAATAATAGAAATGTATTTCTCATAGTTCTAAGAGGCTGGGAAGTCCAAGATCAAGGTACCAGTGGACTTGGTGTCTGGTAAGTGCTCATTCTCTCCTTTCAATATTGTGATGGTGCCTTGTTGCTTCATCCTCCACAGGTGAAGAAACAAACACTAGGTCCTCACGTGATAGAAAGGCAAAAAAGAGAAAAAGAAAAAGGATAAACCAGAAAGTGCTTTTATAAGAATATTAATTCCATCCATGAGTTCTTCACTTTCTTAAATCACCTCCTAAAGGACTCATCTGTTCATACCATCGGGTAAATCCCAACATGTATTTTGGAGGGACACATACACTAAAACCACAGCAAAAGTAGACTAGAAAATATCAAAGGTGCACACTGTAAAATGTAGAACAACTAGTATAAAAATAATAAAAGAGGTATAGCCATTAAGCCATTAATGATGATAAAATGGAATACGAAATAAATGAATTAATAAATAAGAAATGCAGGAGGATGCCAAGACCATTCAATGGGGAAAGCACAGTGTCTTCAATTAATGGTGCCACAAAACTAGATACACAAACCCACACAGAATGAATTTAGATCCTTACCTCACAAAATATGCAAAAAACAATTCAAAATTGATCAGCAACCACATAAAAGAGCGGAAAGCATAAACTCTTAGGGGAAAACATAGAGGTACATTTCATAATATTGGATTTGGTAAGAATTTCTTAGATATAACATTAAATGCATAAGCAATAAAAGAAGGATAAACAACTTCATCAAAATTAAAAAACTTGTCTGCATCAAAGGACAGTATCAAGTGAAAAGGCAATGTAAAGAATGTAGAAAATACAAATATTATATCTGATAAGGTCTGGCATCTAGACTAAAGACCTATTATTACTCAACAATAAAAAGGCAAATAATCTAATTTTTTTAAGTGGGCAAAGGACTTAGCCGACATTAGCATGCCTGTAATCCCAGTGGCTCAGAAGGCTGAGGCAGGAGATCACAAGTTCGAGGCCAGCCTCAGCAATTTAGTGAGACTCTGTCTTGGAATAAAAAATTAAAAGGGCTGGGGATATAACTTGGTGGTAAAGCACCACTGGGTTCAATCCCGGTACCAAGACAAAAAAAAGGGGTGGGGGTAAAGGATTTGAATATACATTTCTCCAAGCAAAATCTACAAATAACCAATAAGCACATGAAAAGATTTTATCATTGTCTTTAGATGAATCAAACAAAAGCCACAAGGAGGTCTTCTTTATTCCCACTAGGATAGCTATAATTAAGGGTGGGAGAGAAGGAGAAAAAAATTAACATCTGGTAAAGATATTAAATTGTAACCTAGTATATTGCTGATGAAATGTAACATGGCTTT